AATAATATTATGACTAAATATATTCTAAATTATAAATAATGTAATAATTAAGTTATATATTCTAAATTATAATTAATATAATGATTGCATAAATATTATTCTATATTATTAATAATATAACGATTCATTAAATATATTTTAAATTAAAAATAATAAAATGAGTGAAGAAATTGATTCTATATTATAAATAATGTAATAATTGAATAAATTCTATTCTAAAGTATTATGATAATTATAAATTATAAATAATATAATAATTCAGTATGTAGATTTTAATTGAATAAATAGATTCTAAATTATAAATAATATAATAATTAAGTAAATATATTCTAAATTAAAAGTAATATAATAATTAAGTAAATATATTCTATATTATAAATAATATAATGATTGAATAAATAGATCATATAATATAAATAATATAGTGATAAGGATAAATTATAAGTAATTTAATAATTCAGTATATACATTTTATAATAATAGAGTAAATATATTCTATATTATAAATAATATAATAATTGAATAAATTATATTATAAATTATAAATAATATAATAATTGAATAAATATATTTTAAATGCTACATAATATAATAATTAAGTAAATAGATTCTATATTATAATAATTTAACAATTGAGTAAATAGATTTTCAATTATAAATGATATAAGAATTAAGTAAATATATTCCAATATAAATAATATAATAACCGAATAAAGAGATTTTAAAAAATATAAAATAATATAAAAACTAAATAAAATAAATAAATACAAATCATATATATATTGAATACAAAATATTTTATTTACAAATTAATACTTTAAAAATATATTATATATAAGTATCATTTTATTTTATTATAAATAAACAAATTTAATTTAATTTAGTTTATTTTTATTTATATATATTATATTATTTCAATTCAAAAACGTATATTTAAATGTTATATTAAAGTTTATTTTATATTTATATTTTAATTTATATAAATGAAATTATCATTTTATATTTTATTAAATAGTAATATATTATTTATTATTTTTAAATTTCACATTTAATTTAATTTTTATTTTATTTTAATTATATTTTTTTATAACTACTTTTGTTTGTGGTTTTTTTTTAATTAAGTTTTTTTTTTTCTGTTCGTGTTGTTTTATATAAATGTGTGAGATATGTATCATAAGATTATGATGGTAGAGTGGTTCAAGAGCTTACCTAGTGGTGTTTTGGCTGAGTTCGAAACTTGGGAGGAGCAGTCAAACATCTATTTTTGCCTAATAAGGGGTAGAATAGTAAAGGGCGATATAGTAAATTTAAATTTCAAAATAAAAAATGTATGACAAGATGAATAATTTTTGCATTATATGAGTGTGTACAGCACGCGCCGTCAGTTTGGCCGGAGAGGGGAGAATCGTGCAATAGTTGGTTAATAAAAAAGATCTGATGCAATTTTTGAAATATCAGGGAAAAACGCGCAGATTTCGTATAATACAAGGAAGTTAATGTATATTTTACCCAGTTTTTAACCGAGAGCTGGAATTCTCCATTTTTTAGAGCATCAAATGTTGAAGCCTACCATTGTGAGATCAAATTACTCTTGAAGACTTCTTGGACTCCACATAATCTGAGAAGAAGATATTGGAGTTGCCCTAAATATGGGTTAATTTTTTTAAGATTTAAAGATCAATTTAATATGATTTTTTTGGTTCGTGAAGCTTTATTATTATTATTATTATTATTATTATTATTATTATTATTATTATTATTATTATTATTATTATTATTATTAATTTTTTTGCGATCTATTGGGTATTGTGGCTTTTATAAACGGTGGATCCTGAAATATGTGAAAGAGCTAAACAAATAATTCTTGTATTGTTGAAAAAATTGAACCCGACTTCAAGAAGAAATTAACGAGAACAAAATGGTACAATTGCATCTCGAGAGTGCTCTAACTGCAGCAAAGAGCAAAGAAGAGGTCTTACAACATCAGTTGCAAGATGCTAAGACAAATACTAGAAAAATATGTTGTACTATTTGGATTTTATCTTCTTCTTTTTTCTCCTTATTTTGAAAGTATTTTATGGCTTTGAGATGTAATGAAACTTTTTTTTTCTTTTTTTGTAATGTAAAAACTTGGCTTTAGTCTGAGTATGAGTTCTTTCCATTTATCATTCTGCCAAATATTTAGGGGGTGATTGTTTATACACTCAACTAAAAAAAACACCAATCAAAACTCAAATTTAACTCAACTTTAATTCAACCCCACTATCCTCAATATTATCAATATAATTAAATAATATCAACTCATCATTCTTACATATCACATCAACTTTAATTCACTATTCACACACTCACATAATTTTAACTAATTATCACTTCCAATCATTTTTCTCCTACTTTACATCAAATCAATTTTAATTATTTTATTTAAATATAATTTTAATATATCCACTAACAACTAACTATACCACTTTTTTTTCAAAATTAACTATAGTTAAAAAACAAACCAAGTAAAAACTTGTTGAATCCATAAACAATCACGCCATTATGGCTTGATTGGTTATCAAATAATTTGTTCAAAATGAGTTATTTTGGTTAACCATAATTATTTTGAAAAATGTGGTATGGTTAGTTGTTAGTGTAATTTTAAGAATGTATTAAAATAATATTTAAAATAAAATGATTAAATTGATGTAGAAGTAGAGATAAATGATTGAAAATGATAGGTAGTTAAAATTATGTGAGTGGATGAATAGTGAACTAAAGTTGATGTGATGTGTAATAATGATTGGTTTGTAATATTTAATTATATGAATAATATTAAAAATAGTGGGGTTGAGTTAAAGTTAAGTTATATTTTGCGTATGAAATAAATGTGAGTAAATTATTTTGTGAACAATCAAGCTCTAACATCCATTCTGCAACATTAAACATCTAATTATGCAAATTCTGCAACACGAACCATCCAACACTTAAACATCAATTCCTGCACTGTAACAACATAAAAATTAAATACATAACATGTTCATAATCAAATCCATAAAACTAACCAAATTATCTTCTTTTCTTAACTCCTCTCCAACATTTAAAGTAATTCCTTTCTTCCTTAAACTCTGCTTTAGTTACTTACGAAATAATAGATTACAGTAAATTATTTGATTAGGAGAAAAATTTTATTAGGATAATCATCTAATTTAAATTAGGTTCATTAATTTTTGTTGATTATGAATTATGATTAAATTCTAGAATTACTCAAACTTAAATGAATTTAAAGTCGAGCTATGCTTTAATAAGAGAATGAGGCGCTACATGAAGGTTGATGCTAACTTGGTTGTGGAGGTAAAGGTTGAGGCTGCCTTGCTTGAAAGGGTGCAGGTTGAGGCTCTCTACTTCCTAAACTAGCATTATCATGTGCCATAAATTTTGACTTCTGTTCAGAAAGACCATTATGATTCTGTTTCTTATCTTTTCTGTCCAGGTCCTAGCGTTGTGGCCAGTTTGGCCACACTTTCCACTTCAATGGCTTTTTATTTCTCGCAATGTTTGCTTTGATTGGAAGAGGAAGGTGTCTCATCCGGTTGTCTTCTTCTCATCTTCTTGGGCTACCAGGTTCATTCTCATAAATAAGGGGGTATTAACTCACACTTAGGATACAACTCTTAACCATTTATACCAAAAAACAACATTCTCATACACTTGAATGTATGTTGGCTGACTATAACACACATGCACATATTTTTGAGCAATCTCATGTCTGCACCATATTTTTGAGCAATCTCATGTCTGCACCATATAGCTCAGCATGCATGCTTGCAAAGAATGCCTGTTAAATCCCACCTACATGATTTCTCAAGCACATCAACTGTATGTTGATCAAATTGTTGGGATCTACTCTGAGACAAACGGTTCATAATAGTCTTCTTCCAAGAATCTAGCATTCGTGCTAACGAACAGATCCTCAAAACTATAAAATAATCCACCTTTCGTTTCCTTCGGATACCCAACAAATAATCGTGCTTCCGAACGATTTTCTAATTTGCTAGCCTCCTGCACCAAAATGTGTGCAGGGCAACCCCATACCCAAAATTGCGAGAAACTGGGCCTACGCCCTTTTCCACAATTCATAAGGAGTAGTATAAATGTGTGAACCACGCACAACCTGTACAACCTGTGCGAGAAACTGGGTTCACACTTTGCAAAATACGGGTGAACCATGCACTTCGCCATAGGAAAAGTGTGAAATACAAATCAAGGAAAAGTGTGAACCACGCACAACCTGTACGGTGCAATGAAAGTATAAATGCAAGGAAAGTGGACAAGAGTCACAAGACAACAGCAAAGCAAATACAAATCAAACAACCCGATGTCTTAGAAGATGGTGCAAGTTCCAAAAGGGTTAAATTACAAAAGTGTGACACATATCAGAAAATAAAGGAGGAAGAAAAAAAATCTATATCTCAATACTAGATACGCTATGCAATGAAGATAATTTGCAAAAGGAAAACTATCATAGTCCTCAGAATTGTATCTTGTTGGACTGTTCTCGAAGAATTCAAATGAAATTAAAGCAAAACAATATCACATCACCGAAAAAAAAAAAAAATGAAAGTGAAATATGAAGCGGCACTCAATTAAGCTCTTGTGTACAAACGTCACACCTATAGGACTGAAGCAAAAACCACAATCACAGTTGATTCATAATTTATCTGAAATTCTGTCTGGTCTTGATCATTCTTTTGAGTGCTGCTAACCAGAAGTTGCATTCATCCCAGTCGCTCGTCGTCAGCAGCACCTAAAGATATTATACAAAAAGGGGTCATTTAGTCAACAAGGCATACATATATTTAATATTATACCATGTGCATCAGTGCATATATATATATGACTTTCAATTTTTCCTGTACCTGGATTTGGAGGGCAGTACCAAAATCACCATTGTCCAGGGCCTGACAAAGTTGAACAAGCTTTTCCGCAGCATTCTTAGATACATCTCCACTATTGAGCTTTGCAAACAGGGCACCTATCTTCTTCGAGTTATCCTCGATTTCTCGCTTGCGTGGTCCTCCTCCTAATGCTTCACTCGTCTCATTGAAAAGTCTAGTTAAAGTTGCAATAACAGGCCTCTGTTGCGCTGTAGGGTATGTAAACAAATTGTGTTAAGTATCTTGTAATAAACGGACCTAAAAGTATCTTATAAAATAAATTCTAAACCCATATTAAATCAATTTTATTAAGTATAAAATAACAAAAGATAAACTTTTGGTCTATTTTTCTTATATAGAGTCGAAATATTCAAACTAAGGAAAAAGTACAAAATGGAGGTAAACTTACAATTATTACCAGCATTAACTATGTGAATTAAAAGGAGAAATAAATGAGTTGTATGTTAAACTATTATTCAAATAATGTTTGAAAGGTAATACCATAATGGTTGTAAGTTGTAACATATATTTCAATGTGTTAGTTACCTACTATTTTACCAAACAATAGGAAAAAAAATACTAAACTTATTAATCTTATAGTATAAAAATATATTTGTATCAAATATATCATTAATTTGTTATTGTAAATAAATAAATAATATTAAATAGTATTTATCGTATGTGATTATATTAGTTGTAGCCTAATAAATAAGATATTTTAATAACAACGTCATTATATAACACGTACAAAAAATGACGCAATACGTTTAAATATGCTTTAATTTTTTTAACAAATAAAATATTATTTGTGAATAAAATAAAAAATAGAAAAAAAAAACTATAGTAATGCAATTGGGAAAAGAAAATGTATGAATTTTCTTAGAGAAATATGAATACCATTATCTAGAAACAAAAGTCTTTTAAAATTGCTACTTTTTTGTAGCTAGCGTTTAAATATATGGACACGGTAATAAATTGGTTCTCATAAATAATGATCATTTATTATCAATTTAGAATTTTAAATATTTAAAAAATTAAAAACTTTATAATACATAATGCAAATTTTAATAATAACTTTGCAATAATAAAGTTTATAGATGACCGAGAGAATAGAATTCTGCTCCTCTCAAATATATTAGAATTCTAATTCTGCTCCTCTCAAATATTTTAAGGAATGATATGCTTCTCAATAGTCTCATTGTTTTGTTTTGTCATTGTTGAAAAATCAAGAAATGATCTTTATCTTCAAAGCATTATGAATGATGCGAAAAATCAAAAATAAATACATTAAAAAAGTTACTAGGCATATAAATATTGCAAATCTAAACGAATGTGAAAGATATTATGATAAACTCTAAAATCATTGTAACTAAGATGGTCAATGATTTGCAAATAGATTATATAGTTCGTCTATCTTCCAAATAAATAACATTGAAAAGGAAATGTCGGAGCCTGATCAAAACATTTTTGAATGTTTGAGTGATGTGTTCGCTTTTTCATAAGAATATTTACAATCCCATTGGTGTGTTGTGCTCGAAGATATTTGCAATTACTTTAGAGTACGTACTTTCATGTATGTGATGATTTCAAAAAATAATTTAACGCCTTGGAAAAAGTACATGCAACAAAGATTTTGGAAAATCAACTTTTATTTAGAGATGAAATTTATTCCCACCCCATGATGCCTCAACAGGGTAGGTACCAATTTGTAATTTGTCTATGGAGAAAGAGTAATGAAGTTGTTTATATATGCTAAAAAAAATATTAGCAATTTTAATGATACGGTTATTTCACAGAGATATTCATGAACTGTTGAAATACCTTATAAAGATCATACAATCATGAAATTTGACTAAAGTAGACGTTTTGCCAAATGAATTAAGAAGTTTGCAAGATATATTAGGCTCCAACAGGTATGAATGTTTCTTATGAGAACGTCAAAACCAAAATGAAAGAAAATCACTCTTGAATCTTCTAACATAAATAAGTAAAAGAACTAATAGATCTCTAATATACATTAGGTACTTAGTTAATTAATTAGTATGTTTTTTTCTCATTACAACTCATTTTTCATATATTTTTTTTGGGCTAGCAATATGTTACTTCATTCATTGTACATTGGACATCATTATGTCATTTTTTAAAAAAAATACATTAGAAGCTCATTTGTTCTACATTTTATTTTGTTCCAGCATTAAATTAATTTATTTGAAAATATGCACTTTACTAATGCACTAAAAAGGAATCAAACTAATGCTACAATATCTGATAAAAATATTCATTCCAATACAATAAAATTAAAATGGTATAATCGGACTCTTTACTAATGACAAACATATTTTATATTTTCCCAAATAAAATAGGAACAAATAAAATGATAATTTATACCTTTAATTTCTCATAGTTGGCAAAGATATTGCAATGCAGTTTAACTTACTAAAATCAACATATATATGAAAAGGGAAACTAAATCAAATCATGGGTGAATCAGCAGCTCTTATATCAATGTTACTATAATCCCAACTGAGCCAATGGAGGGGCAAAGATATTTTACCAGGTACGTTTGACGTATCAACAGTCTGAACAGTAGGAGGGGGAGCAGCAGGAGCTGCTGGCTGCACTGGAACAGGCTGAGTAGGACTCGGAGGTTGCACCAAATTCATTCTTGGTCTTTGTACCCCTGAACTAGATATAGGCGTGAATCCCCTAGTTGGTGGAGTAGGGATAAAGACCTGTGACATCTTTTGCCCAGGAGTTGGAACCTGAGGTGTGTTGGCACCATATGATGGAGCCCCTGGAGGACCACCTTGATAGCTAGGATTAGCTTGATAGCTAGGATTGACAGACCCCTGAGTCATAGGTTTGAGGCAAATTTTAAGGCTTCAGGTCAAATTTTGCAACGAATACAAAATTTAAGAATGTCAGAGGTTTTGTTAACATACTGGATACAACTGGGAACCCAAAGTCGATGGCTGCTGATATTGCTCTGCGTTTCTTAATAAAGGAGGGGTTGTGGGGACAAATTTTGCAGTGGGCTGAGTGTTGACAGGTGGAAGAAAACTTCCCTGCAAGAATCGCATAAACATGAGTACCGAAATTAGATTCTAAAATTGCTCCAATAGTCCAGACGAAGATGCAGACCAACTAAAATAGAAATTAAAAGAATGGGAATATATTACCGTCTGGGCTGGAGGTGCAGGGGAAGGGACAAACATGGAAGGCTGGGGTGCGTTGGGCTGCGAGGTTGCCTGATATGTAGTAGGAGGATTGTAACCTCTTCCATATGAAACAGTGGGCGGCTGCTGATAATTGTCACCATATGGACTGCTGGGAACAGATTGTTGGAACTGGGATGGGGCAGTATTCTTAGGAAAATAAAACAGAGAAATTATAATATTTAGAGTTACGACCTGATGGCCAAGGTAAAAACAACTAAATGCAGGGAAACATGTAATAAATACCGGATAATAGTGTTGGGAGGCATCGACAGCACCATAACTCGATTGATCACCATATGTGGGTCCAGTTTGCATTTGACGGTTCTCATAAGTCATAGTTTTCTCAACTTCTTTGTCTGCTTATGAGTAAACATATTTTTTATGAAAAGAACAAAAATGAAAATTGGAAGATAAAGATTAGCCTTAAAAATTTATGTCTCTGATGTGCCCATCCCACCTTATACATCTGAGAATCCTGACATCATTTCAAAATCTTACTTCCATTTTTCCTTTTCTAACATGCGTATGGCGGGATGTGCACCAGAAAACATAAATGCTTACTCCATTCAGCTCTAAGTTGCAGGAATAATGAGAAGAGGTTGCATAAATTCGCACCTTGCTCAGTAGACCGAGCAATGCGATCACGTAAGATAATAAGTTCGGTAGACAACTCCTCTGTGCCGAGAAGATTCAAATACTCCATTGCTGTAGTTAAAAGCCCTTGACTTGCTAATATTTCAGCATATTTCTCCACTAGTTTGCATAATGAAGCACTAAATCGCTTCTGTCCAGTAGCCAAAGCAAATACTATAGTCTTCTCCATTAAATCCTTAGAGAAACAAGAAATACATGTAAGGCCATATTACTTCAAGCATAAATAAACATCAGAAATGTAGTAGTCAATGCATGCTTACCTGGAGACGTTCAACATAAGGCTTTCCATCCTGATCTTTTGCCAAATTCCTAGACCAAATCTCCACAGTTTTGTCGATATTTCCAGCACAAATGTAACATAAAGTTGCAGCAGTAGCATCACCAGCAACCATGAGTCTAGCACCAAGTGTATCGCATAACTGAGCCCACTGTTCTGACTGTGCAAACTGAATCATAGCATATAATGTTTAGAAACAGTCTACACACAAGTGAATTGCCTTAATCACACGATTGAAACATCCTATAGAGAAAGAACCGTGTCCTGGATTCAAAATATTTATCACCAAGAAAAAAAATGGGCGTATCTACAAACGAAAAACAATCTTGGATATACCAACGAAAGGGCAACATGAAGATTCGGTATAACATTGACACCAAACATCAAAAGTACATTGAATTTAAAGTGTTCATCTAAATCATTATCAAGGATATGAAAAACGAAAACACAGTCCACATAAATGACATCTAATTCAGTAACAGTATTTGCTAATGCTTTAGTTAACACCCCATCTTCTTTTACAGACACATTTGAACATCTAATTCAGTAACAGTATTTGCTAATGCTTTAGTTAACACCCCATCTTCTTTTACAGACACATTTGAACGCCCTGAGCTTATGAGAAAACCCGTCACCTGTGATCTTGCTACAGTTTCATCAGCTCATGACCTAGATAGTTTCTCCCTTTTGGCTTTGAAAAAAGTAGTAATGTAACACAACACATCATACGCATACATACATGCATACAAATTATAATTAATTTCGGTTCCTCTTTTAGTCAAACCATATCATCTGTCACCATAAATAAAGGCGTGGGCACATAGTTTGACTTTGACACTAGAAATGAACAATATAGCTCTAGCTGAAACTGTGAGAGATATGAGAATAGTTGAAATATGACAGGACAAAACATGCTAAATAACTGGTATATCCAGTAACTAACAAAGCAGTTGGATATAGCTCTAGCTGAAACTGGGAGAGATGAGAATAGTTGGAATATGGCAGGACACAACATTAAGTAACTGGTATATTCAGTAACTAACAAAGCAGTCCGTCACAATACGGTTTAACCATTACCAGCGGCTGGAACATTCTAACTTTGGTTTCAGGAGAGAACAAACTTACAGTGCAAAAGAGAGCAAGAGTTTCCTTCCATGATTTTAGAGGTCTGGTATTAGCTATGCTCATTAGGTCATTGTTCACCATGGCAGAAACAACCTGAAACATTTAAAAAAAAATACATATTTAAGAAAGAAAGTACACGCAGGCGTGAAAAATCACACAAGTGTTATCAATCTTCACTAAGAAATCAACTAATTTTCACAAACAGAATAGAAAGAGGTTTAACAAAGTTAGCCATCTAAAAAGTGAGTTTGTCACCTTTAGGTAGGGAGAACTACAAGTCTTGAGGTAGTGGTCACGTGTGTTATCCCATAAGGAACCACCACCTACATGGGCAATAACCAAAGCATCCGCCAATCTATTTGCTAAAATGCATTGCGCCACTGCCCCCTTGTAATCTCCAACAACCAAAGCACGTTGAACAGCATCATCAAATAAAGAATCAGGAATCTCCTCTTGTCCGTCAGTTTCTGGATGGGTTTCCTTTAAAGAGTCTTCATTGACAAATTCATCCTTGTTTTTGGACAGTGACGTCCCTGCCTTTGGAGTAGAAAGATTGTTAAAGAACTCCTCTCCGTTATCAGTTCCAAACAGGTCAGATTCTTGATAACCGGAAGTTCCTTCTCTAATAGCTGCACTCTCATCAAGGCCAAGAGTATTTACATGCTCAGAGGCATCATTGTTTAAAGTATCGCTTTCCTCAACAGGTGCACTGAAACCAAGATGAGAAAGCAGCTTTGACCTTGCAGTCCCATCCTCATTAAACATAACTTTCATGAAGCCCCATGTTTCCCTCTCCTCATCAGATCTGAGCAAGAAATAACAGGCTAATTAAAAGTATTGTGATAACCATGAATATTATAATAGCACCAACTGCGGAATAAAGAACACATACTCAGATTCTTGAGATTTCCTTTCGCACAAAAGTTTAAGTGCTGATCTGTCCCCATTTTGTATTGCGGCTTCAAATTCAGAAGATCGACTAATCAAACCATGCTCCGTAACTAAATTGTGCACATAAACCTGAAAGTGGTCAAAATTTTTAATTAAGGGCATGCTTGTTTATTAAATATCTCATTCACATTCAATTCATACTCAAAATCTAACTCAACTTCACCATCCTTAATATTATCAATATAATTAAATAATACAAACCAATCGTTCTTACATATCACATCAACTTTAATACACTAATCATCCACTCACATAATTTTAACTAACCATCACTTCATATCATCTCTCTCCTACTTTTATATCAAATCAACTTTAATTATTTTATATAAAATATTATTTTAATATAAACTCAAAATCTCACTAACTGACCATAACACATCTTTCAAAATTAACTCTGGTTAACCAGGAAAACTCATTTGGGCGGATTTATTTGTAAACAAGCACGCCCTAAAATATTAGAGGCAATCCACAATATAACTCCCTCAGTGTACCTCTGATCCAGGGAGAGATTCAGCAGAGTGAAATGAAACAAGCTTGCCCCCAAAACCAAGTGAAACTCCAGCTTTTCTCTTGTACCACTTGGGGGCTTTCAAAGGTGCTACAGATATAACATGAATTTTGAGATCAATTAAAACCCCAAAAACAATAAGAACAAAGAAAAACAACAGAGTATACATTTTTTAAATATACCATCCAGGAGACCAACTAATGCTCTTTTAAACTAACATCCTGTAAAGATGATAGCCTGAAACATCACAACTATTTGAATCTTTCAGACATCAATTCTTGTCCTTTCATTTAGAACTTTCACATTACATCCTACAATCGTCAAAATATACTTGAAGAATGGTGTGCTGATAAAACACAGACACCATGCAACATCTAAATAGTATCAGGACAATGAAGGGACAAGACAGGAGATGTTGAGGCAGCCCTGTTGTTTTCTTAAAAGTCGAGTCAACTCACATCTAATTCTGAAAGTACAGTCATCAAGTATCTCCCGTCCTTACAAATCTAAGGGTATAAAATGAAAGGGGTGTACCACACAATAATAAATATTTGAAATGACCAAGACCATGCATTAAAAAGATGAAAAATGCTTCTTTTCCCCAGAACAAAACTTGAGTCCCTATTCTCCCCATGAAAATGGTTAAACTTATTAGCATCTAAAAGATGAGACTATACCTATTCCAAAACCACCCTCTCCAACACCATATCGACCAATACCCTGCAATTAAAGAGAGTATGAACAAGTAAGCAAAGAGTCAAATGCACAGTTGTTAGAAGGATATTATGTAAACCCAAAAGGAAAAGGTAAGTAAAGTTTATAATAATACAAATTTTCTAAAACCATTTCCATAATACATTTATTCACATTTATTCCAGAACATGAGTGAAAAATGCAATTAGGTACACATTCACGACTCTGGGTGTGCCTCTAGAGAAAAGCTCAAGTGCACCTTTAGCGACCACCGACCAAGGAACACTAAAAACACCCTCTACTAAAGTAAATCTTGAAAATCTAAGTTCCGAATGGCCTTACCTAACAGAATTGCAACAGGTACTAGTTCAAATCGGAAAATGCCCCGAGGATCTAATAATCTCAACAAAAGTTTACAGAAAAGGGTACATTATGCAACGGAATTTTTGCAAAATTATTTCTTTCCCTCAATCGGTAGTAACAGCTAATAACAATTATTGAAGACTCAAATGAGTTCCACACAATATGAAATTACCTCAATATTATAAATGCCGACTCTGCCATCAAATGAAGATGCTGATATGATTCCAGGAATCTTAGAATACCAGTGCACATCAAAATTCCAGTTGGTTCCAGCGGGCAATTCAGCCACAATCTACAAAAATAACTAATGACATCACTGCCCATCGGGGAAAACTTGACTAGAAGAACAAACGGTAATAAGATAACAATCAGGAAAGGATAACTGCGTGCATAATGGAAACGAGAACGCCTCTGCATCAATGGAAGCAATCAATATTTTACCTCTCCAGATACAGTGTCCCAGCATATGGTACGGTTGTCTTTGGCACAGGTAAGCAAATAAGAGCTGTCCATGGGACACCAAGACATACCAATCACACCTGATGCACGAGACACAGCACTCAATTAAGTTCTGATGGGTAAATGAAACTATTAGTACAAAGGCAAAATGGTTAACACTCAAAAAAGTAACAAGAACAACCAAAATGGATAGGAAGGGTGACAAATGCTGACGATTAAAAGTATCTCGGCCTATTAGCTGTCAGTATCGGGTGAAAAAACCATAAAGATTATCACAGAATATAAGATGACAGGAAGAACAGTTGCTAAATATTTGAAGCTATGCATGTTTGGTTCTTAAGGGAATCCAGACTTATTGATTAATTTTTCTGTTACAAAATGAAAATGTGTCAATGGGTATGAAATAACATCTTCATACATTAACCTCTCTCATGAACAGATCCATCGCGTGGTGTTTAATCAGCTTCCCAACATTTCTACTCTCCAATGGCACATGACACATGTTAAATCCATTCACTAGATTACAAAGCACCAAAATGATTAAAAAGCATGCAACCTCTTATTTCAATTGGTGACTAAACTCCCACCTTACCATACTCCATACAACATATAATTTTCAAGTCCAGACAAAAGTGCTATTGGCTCACCTATGCTAAGAACATCAAAATTCCNTGGTGGACAATTCAACCTACATATATCTATTTTCCATTGTAAGTAAATGTTTTCATTATTAAAGTTCTATCCTTTTCAAGAGAGTAAGTGGGACTTAGTTGGGGTAACCAGATCTCTTCCAGCATAAATTGGTTTTGAAAATTTTGGCTTGCAATCCCTCCCACCATCATTATTGATATGGAAACACAAAATTGTAGCAACCAAAGAGAACAATGTACACAACAGCAAAGTTTCCAATCCCCGATCTTTTCCATAAAGGCTTTGTTAAATTAAGTGATTCAGTTAACCTACAAAATAAACTACAATTTAGGCAATTTTTTTATATAAAGCACTAAATCCAATATAGGATAATGATGAGAAAACATCAGACAATAGTTATCACCATTTGATTTTGAGAGAGATCAGAACATCTGCAAGCTACTCCTTAAATGATTTATCATGTCCACCTTCAAAAATTGATAAACTACTATACAAATCCACTTGAAAAATTCAAAAGATAAAATCAACTAAAAGAATGCAAACAATAATAGGGACTGTGAACTTAAAGATACATAAATGAACTCCCAAAAATATGACTTACCTTTGGTGTGCCCAACAAATTCTTTTACTGGAGCAATTATGTTGCGCATATCCCACAGCTGAACATGCCAAATACAATAATCATAAATTAATCAGCTTTAAGATATAAAAAATATCGACTAAAATCTAAGGGCAAATGGATCATACCCTAAGAGAAGGTGCGCTGTCTTCATCTGAAGCAACAATTAGCTGAGTGGCAACATCAGGGTGCCACTGCAACACAGAGCACCTCCTCCTAATTGAATCTGTGAAACTGCAAGGAACACATATTTGTGATCACAAAGGGGCAGAGCCAAATGTCATTAGCCAGTGGTGCGAAGTGTAAAAACCAAGTATCATACTAGACAGAAGTCAAAATTTACCTTATAACTGGCTTTTGCTTCTTGAGATCCCACACCACTGAAATTCAGAAATCACTATTATTCCAATGCAAATGTAAATTTAAGTGCACGCAATCCCATTGACCAGAATCCTTCTTACCAGTTGTTCCGTTAAATGAAGTGGAGGCCAGTATGTGCTGAACCCTACTATTCCAGGACAAAAATGAAATTTCACCTTGTGTTGCAGATCCACTACCCTGAAGAACAGTTCAAAAAGTTTAAGTTTCCCTCCTAATTCTAAAATATAAATACGGGATAAGAAGATGAAAAGGCTTACCAGCATCAGACTAATATCCTACAGTAAGCAATAAGATAACAATGGACAGGTAAGAAACTGAATCCATATGTAGCCGAAAGACAAGCACATAGTAATAGTGTGAGTGCACGTGGTGATCATTGTATAAAAAGAGTTAGCCCCTCATTTCTACCTCACTTTTTGGGGGTCAACATGAATGCTGAGAAGAATTTGAGAGAGATTTTTGGCATTAAACATGTGATAAATGATCAATCAATGCTCATGCTATATGACAAAGGCGCTTGTGACTACTACCGCGCCACAGCCGCCATGCAGGTAGTGGCAAAGAAGCCGAAAGGTAAGTGCTACCGGTGCAAGCAGTCAGGACACTGGAAGTCCAACTGCCCTCTCCTCAAGCACTCAAGCAGGGCAATGGAGGTAAATTATATACTCATGTCGTATGGAAACAAAATGCTATATGAATCAATGTATACCTTGAGTGGTGGAAAATGACTTGGTTCTGCTGGTCTTGATACATCCCATATACAAATATCGCCTTCATCAGCACCAGAAGCAAGATGGTTTGAGGAAAGAGAATTGAACTCCAAGCCCCGAACCTGAAGCAGCATGAGAATAACATAGTTTGAAGCCCATCATTTTATCAGCCATAATTAAAACGTAAAGGCAGTACAGCATATAAAATACAAAACAAGGTCGGATGCTTACAGGTCCCTTGTGCCGTGATAGGTTCGCAACAAAAGCATTCTCACTTGCATCAGAACCCCTTTTACTGGGGTCAGAACTGAAGCACAGAAAAAATTAAAACAAGAGAGTTTGCAGTCAGAAAACTAAGGCGTAGGAACACATTATCAAAGTACAGCTAACTGCATGAAACTAGGCCGAATGAAAATAGCAATTATTGCTGTTAGTAATGTATAGTATCGTAATCAAGCAAGCAAAAACAAAATCCAAGCACCTTACAAGAGTAACTAAACTCGATAGAATCAACAATTCAGGAAATGAGAAGCAAGCCCAACAATATTTTATAAGATCTCTGACCTGTTAATGGGTGCATAACTCATCTTTAATTTAAATTCATAGGTCTGCCTGTCTACCACTAAATCACACTACCACAGTTTCAGTTACACCAATGCACACAACACAACCAAACGCTACATCCACTAAAAAGGCACAATCTCAGTTGATGTCACGAGTTCGGTTTATTTGCATCAATTAACATTTAAAATCTGAAAAATTAAACTTTATAAGCTCTAAGGATTTTTTTCACGCTCTAAAATAAATTTTCTCTAGTGTAGAATCCTATTTAGGCTTGAGTGTGACGTGTGAGGAAATTTTAAGATATCAAATCAATTCCAAAGTGTTGTATGATTCTCACAGTAAATTTAGTAATAAACAGTAAAGCAGTTTTATTTCATTGTGAATGGGTGTATCATTGATTTCGCCAATTCACAAATAATCAGGAACCACAAACAAGTGGTAAAACCAAGAACACCACTGCTCTCTAATTCAACTCCGCTGAAAGTTATAGCTTTTGGTATTCTCTGGTATTTAGTCAGGCCACAGTTCAGCAGCAGACCAAGTTTCTATTTTCCCCTGATACAGAGTTCTTGGGTCATATGAGAAACACTGGGAAAAAATAGTAAACAGCATCCTGCTTAATTAGCATTTGACTCCATTATCATTCGATTACAAATACTCATCTACAAATTCGTCACCAGAAAATAAAATCCAAGCATAGAATCACCAAATATGCCATCAACACTCAAATGCAGGAATCATACAATCACCAAAAATATGTTTACAATTAGCGACAAGAGAAACTCAAAAGTGACCCCGAGTAACTAGAATTCACCAGATCACGTGTTTAGGATTCCAAATCCCAATGTTGCCATCAACAAGGCCACCGGCGATCAGTCCAAGGGAATACTCTTCCGAATTCGCGAGGCCCTTGCCCCAGGAAATCCGATTGAAGCGCTCAGAACTCGGGACAGTGCCTGCCAGGATCAGCTGCCGATCGTCTGACACGAAATCAAGCTCGAATATATCGAGATTGGCGGATGAGCTGAATTGCAGATCCACCGCCCCAGCCATCGTTCCAGCGGCGATGTACGCACCATCCGGCGCGAACGCCGTCGACGCCGATCTGTTCACCCCCTTAATATAACCCGCCATTGTACCCGCAAATATATCAATCTATGAATCCGAGAAAGGGGATTTCAACAAAAATAAACCGATAAACGAAGTGAGTAGATCTGGATATGCAGAAAAAATCGAAGTCGATCGGGATAGAGAGAGGGGGGCTTTGTCTCTCTATTACCTTCTATGTGAGTTACTAATTTAGGTTTTGATTTGCCCGGTCTTATGACACTTACATTGATTTTAGCGTTGATTTTAGCGTAATTGTTATTTTAGTACCTGTTAATTGTGATTTTGGTACTTATTCTTTATTTATTGCGAAAATACCATCTGATGTTTACGTTTTTGCGAATTTGGTATCTAGTATTGACGTCGGTTTGCATGACTTTACGTTTTGGACTCGTTTGGGCTCGTTCGAACTCGGAATTGAGTTCCGTTTTTTTCTATGCGTCGCCAACGAATCCCTCTATTCAATGATGTGATCAGCACACCAAAGACGTGTTTCGCGCGACTTCGCGTTTTGGACCCGTTCGAGCTCGTCCAAACTTGGAATTGAGTTTTGCTTTTTTCTACATGTCACCAACGAACCCTTCTACTCAACCATGGTTGCCGGTCATTTTTCGGGCCAAATTTATTCCTCACGGGGCTTCCAACCTGCACACTAAAAACAAGAAGAAAAACAAAAAAAAAACACACGACACAATAAACTACAAAAACGAATAAAACCCAACGAAAAGTCCTAAAACAAGGGAAAAATAGTGAAAAAAATAAGAAAAAACGTAAAAAAAAATAGAATAAACACTTGCAAAAACTCCATCACTACTAGTTCAAATTCTCCAAAAAGCTTAACGCTTGAATTGACAAAAAATTAAAAACTAGTAGTGATGGAGCTTTGGCAAGTGTTTGTTCTATTTTTTTACGTTTTTTCCTATTGTTTTGTCACTATTTTTTCCCGTTTTAGAACTTTTCGTTGGGTTTTATTCGTTTTGGTAGTTTATTGTGTCGTGTGTTTTTTTTTTCTTCTTGTTTTTAGTGTGCAGGTTGGAAGCTCCATGAGGAATAAATTTGACCCGAAAATTGACCGGGAAACCATGGTTGAGTAGAAGGTCTCGTTGGCAACATGTAGAAAAAAGCGAAACTCAATTCCACGACCTCGAACGGGCCCAAAACGCGAAGTCGCGCGAAGTACGTCTTTGGTGTGCTGGTCATAAGCTTTGGGTGAATAGTATTTCAAGAATAATTTGGTCACAAAAGAATCATTGAATAGAGGGGTTCGTTGGCGACGCGTAGAAAAAAACGGAACTCAATTTCGAGTTCGAACGAGCCCGAAACGTAAAGTCATGCAAACCGACGTCAATACTAGGTACCAAATTCGCAAAAACGTAAAGGTCGGGTTGTATTTTCACAATAAATAAAGAATAGGTACCAAAATCACAATTACCCCATAGTATAGGTACTAAAATAACAGTTACCCTTGATTTACGAGGAAGGCAACCAGGTTCTTCATACCAGAGTGGGGGCATAACGGGAATCTAGGTGCCCCTACGAGAATTGTCAGCTAAACTATAAGATAGTGCACTACGGAAATATTAAATATGACTTCCACTAGAGGGACTACATCTCCCTATCATAAGTCATCACCCATGTCTTTTTTATTCCAACGAAAACACTTTTATTAAAACTCAAACATACACGGCATTGTTCAACTCAATCCCAGGACACCACTCAACTGTAAGAAAGATGATCAAACAGAGAAATGATAAATCATTCCCCCTGAAGAGCCAACACGGCTAAGCTACAACTATTCAAACTCAAAGAATAATTAAACATACACGAGCTAAATAAAGTCTTAAGATGTAAATATCCTCAAGAACAAAAGTGCATGATAAATCAGATAGCCTCTCCACAATCCCTTGATGTAAATCTGCAGCTAGGGGCTTTGAGACTATAGAACACTCCACTGTTTGCCAGCCTTTATCCACAGCAGTGCTCAAAGCCCATCGAATTGCAAGTAGATCAGTTTCTAAAGAGTTCCCTGCCCCTCTCCAGCATTTCTGCTCTTTCCACTGAGTTGCTCCATCCTTGTAAGCTACTGCTCCTGCACCAACTTTACCATCAAGAGAAGTTAGGGCACTAACTTGTAGGTTCACAAGTCCTACCCTCCTGGAAAATTCTTCACCTAGAGGAATGTCACTCACAGTTGCAGTTGCTATAGCCTCCTGTTGTTCAGCAGTCTCCACAACCCTCTCCAGCGCAGTCCAGTCCTTCATAGTGCCTGCAATCACTTCAGTTTCCACCACTTGTGCTCCCCTAAACCAACAATTGTTCGTTGCCTTCCAGATCCTCCATAGTAAGCACACTGGAAGGGTTAATCTAGCTTCCCATTCTGCAGCTTTTAAGCCATTGCATATGCTTTCCCACCATTCTTCAAGGCTGAAATCCTCTCTTTTGAAGTCCTCTCATTCTAGTCCAATCAATTTCCAGCATCTTGAGCTTTTCTGGCAGATCACAAACAAATGATTACGCTGCCCTCTTCTGCCTCACCACACATAATGCAAATTTGATCTGTTTCCATGCCATTGCTCTTCATAACAGCTTTAGTATTCGGGAATCCATTGAGCACCCTCCACATAAATGATCTCAGTTTAGGCATTATCTGCAGTCCCCATGTCACTTTCCACATTCTTTTGGCTCTCACATCACCTTGATTTCCACTGACCCTCATCATATTTTCTGAAAAGATATCACTAAAAAAAACATATGCTGACTTAACAGAGAAGCAGCCTTTCTTATCCAGGGTCCACACTAATCTATCTTTTTTCCCATATGGACTAAAATGAATCTTCAGTATTTTAGAGGAAATGTAAGGGGGAAAGGTTTGGAGCACAAAATCCACATCCCACCCCTTCCCTTCTTGCAAGATCAGGTCACTGACAGTCTTCAATTTATGTCTATCCCTTAAGAAAGCACACAATTTCGCACTCAGGTATACCAGGAATACAGGGGAAGTTCCATATAGGGATTGATGCACCGTCTCCTATCTGGTACCTCACACCTTTCCTAAAAAAGTCTCTAACAGTCAACCAGCTCCTCCAGAGCCATGAATCAGTATCTTTCTTCCTAACCTCAAATAAGTTGGTCTTATGGAAATATTTCCCCTTTAGCATTTTGCTCACTAACAGATTCGGATGGGTCAATATTCTCCACAATTGTTTGGAAATCAAAGCCTCATTGAATGCAACCAGGTTCTTAAAGCCTAGACCTCCCACATCTTTTTTCTTTACTAAATTTGCCCAGGAAGCCCAATGAGTTTTATCATTCCCTTTATCATTTTTACCCCCACCAGAAGGAACTCATCACTCTACACAACTCAGTGCAAATAGAAATAGGTAACTTGAAGCAAGCCATGACAAAAACTGGGAGAGCATTTAATATAGTTTTGAGTAATATTTCTCTACCACCATCCCTAAGAAAAGCATTTTTCCAGTTACTCACTCTTTGTTTTACTCTATCACTGACAAATCTAAATGTCTCTCTTTTAAACCTTCCCACTCCCAAAGGTAAACCCAGGTATTTGGAAGCTGCAACACAAGCAATACCACTCATAATAGAACACACATCTCTCACACAAGACTTAGAGTTATTTTTTGAAAAAAAACACAGATGATTTCCCTAAATTAACAGCTTGACCTGAAGCCCCCCCATATTCCCCCAGAATTTGCATTAATAGAGAAGCTTGAGAAACGCTAGCTTTACAAAATAATATGGCATCATCAGCAAAGAAGAGATGGGTAATAACAGGAGAGTGCTTGCTTATTTTTACACCATGTAAAAGACCTCTAAGTCTAGCTTGTTTCAGGAGAATAGAGAAAGCTTCAGACAATAGAATGAAAAGATAAGGAGATAGAGGTTCTTCTTGTCTTAAACCCCTAGTTGGCAAAACAGACCCCAAAACTTGCCCATTAATGTTGAAAGAGAATGAAGTAGGCCCAAGACAAGCCATAACCCAAGCCAAAAATTTATCATGAAAGCCCATCTGCCTACACACTCTAACAAGAAAACCCCATTCAACCCTATTGTAAGCTTTATCCATATCTAATTCGATAGCCATATGCTTATTCTTGCCCTTCCTTTTTACCATTTAAGAAGTGAATGCACTCATTAGCAATAACCACATTATCCAAAATTTGTCTACCAGGTATGGATGCAGATTGTGAAGGGAAAATGCAAGAGGATAAAGTACCTTTCAGTCTATTTGCAAGATTTTTAGCTATTATTCTGTATTTGACATTGCAAAGACTAATTGGCCTATAATCAGAAAAGGTTGAAGCTTGTTTCTTTTTGGGGATAAGAGAAATAAGTGTATGGTTTACTGATCTAGGCATTTTTCCCGAAACAAATAAAATTATTAACAGCAGACCAAAATTGATCTTTCACAGTAATCCAAGAGGTTTGAAAGAAAGAAGGAGACATGTCATCTGCTCTTGGTGCCTTGTTTGGGTACATGGACATTAGTGCAGCTTTAACCTCTTCTTCTGTCACTGATTTCAACAGCCGAGCATTCATTTCATCAGTAATTGTGGATGGGATACCCTGAAGGCTGCAACTCTCAATTCTAGGGTTAGAAGACTGAAATAAACCGTGGAAGTATGTTTAAACTTCATTCAAGATCTCCTGGTTGTTAACACATCTTCATCTAGCTACATTTACGAAATTCTCCAAGCTGTTGACTTTTCTTTTGTAATTAACTCTTGCTTGGAAAAATTTGGTGTTCCTGTCCCCTGCTGTTAACTAAAGAGCCCTTGATTTGTTCCTCTAATACACTTCCTCATCTTTATATGCCAGATTCAATCTATGCTTAATATTAGTCCAGGCTGTCCAATCCCTAAAACCCCCTTGCTTGCTAAGATCATATAACTTTCTCTTGCATTCTTGTATCTCTTTCCCTGAGTTGGTTGTATTCTTTGCACTCCATTCCAGCAAGGCCAACCTCACATTCTTAATCCTCAGTTGCAAATTGTACAAGGCAGGACCTCCAACCTCACTATTCCAAGCAGACTGAACAACTTCTTTAAAACCCTTCTCCTTAGTCCACCTAGATTCAAAATAAAATCTTTTTTTTTCCCTTTCCCCACTGGGTCACATCTCCAACAACAACATGTTGTGATCTGAAGAGGACATATAGACTTGCTTAACCAAAGCATTTGGAGATTTAGCAAAACTAAG